ACTACCTTCTTTTTCATTTCAGCTGCAATGTGATCCAGTATATTTGCACATGAGTTATTAGAGTGCAAAACTCTGCCCATCTTGACACCATTTAAGACTTGCAACTGGACATCTGTTGGCATGTCTGTAAAGGGACGCCCATGCTTGCCAATCGTATAAGCTGTTCTAAACACATTGTAAGTTGAAGCGTAGTCAGCCTTTCTCATATCTTCAATGTGTTTTTGCATTGTATTTTGTGTTGCCTTCTCTTTTATTTCAACTGCTTTCTTGTGATAAATTGAGTCTCTGTGCTCTTTTATTTTCTTTCGTAGTGAGTTTTGTTGTGCAGCCTTGTCCCTTCCAAAAGACGAGATTAAGCACCCACTCCACTCCTGCGACACTCTCTGCCCTTGCTGCATGTCCACGCCAGCACAAACTTGACTACACACACTACAACCCAACTTTTGATTTCTGCTGATCAGCCACTTGTAATTTGTGGAGAAATACCGGACTTGTGCTTGGGACCAACATTCTGGCCACTCATGCTCGCCAACGCGGCTGTTGTCATCGGTAGAAATGGTGTCATTCTCGTCCTCGTCGTCGCAAAAAGTGCCGTCGTCCGCGGCTGCGGCATTAGTGCAGCTTTCATTAGCTTGCGTCTGACCTGCAGCGATATCATTCTGGCTTGGTGGGGTGTCAGCCAGCGAGTCCTCTGATTCTGACCTTGTTCTTTTACTACTCAGAGTCTGAAGCCAGGAGAGCATATTAAGTGTTCATTGTTTTTGTATTTTAGCCGAGCAGCTGTTTGCGCGTTTTACACACCCTCTCCGGACCACGTTGAGTTGTTGACATGACAACGGCAAAAGCGACGCATGCGCTTTTCACTTGTAAAACACATTGGTGTATGGGTAATGTAGTCTATGCTCTCGATGGGACGAATTAGGAAGCGTGCTTGTGAAGGGCGCTCTGAAAAGCGGCAGCGCAGCCAAACGATTATAACAGATGTGCAAATGAGAGTACCGGTACGCTAAAAGCACGTTCTGGGCGCATGGAGAGGTGGCGGTACTCTCAAGAGCTATATTTAGAAGTGGCGGTACTGAGTACCGGCGCGTACCGGCCCACTTAAAGCACTGGTTTTTAGTCTGTAGTTTGTAGTTAGTGTCAGATTTATGCTTAAAAGATGAATGTTTTCATGAAGGATGAACTGAGTGTTTATTGATGACGGCTGCTCAGAGGCTGGTTAAAAAACAATGATGATGGCGATGGTGTTGGTGGTGATGAAGGTGATGGTTTTGGTGGTGTTGATGGTGGTGAAATAGAATTCCCTTAGGCGGTGCAGCAGGTGGATGGTGGTGTGAGATGCACTCAGGTTAATGATGTGAATTATGTGAAACTCTTGAAGTTGTTCTTCCATTGTTTCATCGCGAACAGCTTTAACCTTCAGACGAGGAGACGCTTCACCTGTGTACCTGTGTGCTTCTCCTCAGGTGTGACAGGGCTGCTCCACCTGGATGACAGCGGGGACCGAGAGACCGACTTTGCTCTGTGGGACATTGTAGACACCAACAGCACCACCTTCCAGGTGAACACACTAAACACAGACACAACAGAAACGTGTTGGTTGTGTCCTCGCAGGCTCCGACTCAGCGCTCAGCGTTTTTGTGATCTTGAAAACATAAACTAGAGTAACGAATGTTAGAACGTCTGCGCGAATCCAGGGACGTTAACCACACCTCCTCCTCCTCGCAGATCGCTATGGTGTACAGCACCACTGAGGAGCATCTGACCGCCATACCTGGAACACACCTGTACTGGCTGGGCGGAGCCCCTCCCCCTGATTTTCCTGTCTGTGGCTTCAAGAACGACAACCAAGTCTGTCTCGCAAGTCAGTATGCCAAAGATCAGTCTGAGGTCAAAGTTCATATGCACTGGTTCTTATGAGCACTCAAAGCACCTCATTCACACACACACACACGTAAGTGCTTCCTATCTAGCATTCACACTCCGATGGATACATCAAGAATGGGATCGAACCAACAACCTTCACGATTAGTAGGTGACCTGTGCTACCAGCTGAGCTACAGCCCAGATCAGGAAGAACTCGTTTTAAAAATGTGTGGTCCTGATGGCCCTCATGGTCCTGAAGGTCCTCATGGTCCTGATGGTCCTAGTGGTCCTCATGGTCCTGATGGTCCTCATGGTTCTGGTTCTGAATCGTGAGATCACATAGTTTGTCTGTGGGTTAATAACAGTCTCCTCCTCTCTCTCTGTCAGAGACCATCACCATCTACCAGATGGTCTCCATCGTGGTCATCTTCTTCTTCATCTTGATCCTGACCATCGCCATCTTCATCTACAGGTGAGAGCTGCTGCAGTTCCACCACCTGGTCATGTGAGGGCAGTAGCATGTGGAGTGATCGTGCTACATCACCACACGATCAGGTTCTTTGGTGCGCTCAGAGAAGAATGATTTAGAATGAGTTGGTATTACTGAGCGTGTGCGAACTGTAATCAGACAGACTGTGTATGAAGATGACGGTGAGTCACTGAGGAAGAGTGTTTGTGCTGCAGGAGGATGAAGCTGGAGAAGGAGCTGGTAGCTCAGCTCTGGAGGATCTCCTGGGACGACATCCAGATGAGCGACCTGAACAAGGTGCTGCGGAGCGGCAGCAAGCTCACACTGTCACTGGTAAGTGCGCGCACACTCCCACGCAGTGACGCTGGTTAAAGGTACGTAAGGCTTCTGATGACAGGCGTTCTAATCGAAGGTAGATGTAAAGAAAGATGTGCGTCGAGCTCAGGTCGCCGTTACGTTTTAGACTAAACTGTGGAACAGAAAATAACGAGGCCTGAAATCAGCTCCGAGGAAACTCCCAGAATTCTTCTCGCTGTCTGTAAATCCGACAGACGCCTTCACAGTGAAAACACACTCCCACGAGCAGTTTATTAGGAACATCTGCACCATCTTTGATGTTGGAAAGGTGAAGAGATGGGAAAGGTGAGGGCGGCACATTACTGGATGAGAGTCCAGGCTGTACCTAATATTCTGCTCTAGAGACGTGTCAGGGACACATGAGTGTTAGGAACAGCTCCAGGGAGCAGATGAGTTTGCACACGTGCTCATAATAAAGTGCTGAGCGCACACGTGCGGTGTTTTTACACGATCGTTATCGTCACCATGGTAATCCTTGGTGTGACGAGGAAGATGAAGATGATGAAGGTCACACTGACGCTGAGCGTGTTTGTTTCCAGAGAGGCTCAAACTATGGCTCCCTGATGACCGGAGACGGGAATCTGCAGATCTTTGCAAAGACCGGATACCACAAGGTGTGTCCTCGCCCTCCACATCTTCCTCAACCTCCTCGCCCTCCTCACCCCCTCGCCCTCCTCGCCCCCCTCGCCCCCCTCATCTTCCTTGCCCTCCTCACCCTCCTCATCTTCCTCAGCCTCCTCACCCTCATCTTCCTCAGCCTCCTCACCCTCCTCATCTTCCTCAACCTCCTCGCCCTCCTCATCTTCCTCAACCTCCTCATCCTCCTCGCCCTCCTCATCTTCCTCAGCCTCCTCGCCCCCCTCAACCTCCTCGCCCTCCTCATCTTCCTCGCCCTCCTCACCCCCTCGCCCTCCTCATCTTCC